TCATCAGATGCTGCCCGCGCTGTTCTCAGTCATCTGCAGATGATAGGAGACAAAGAAGGTCTTACAGCGTACAACTTCACCGTGACGCCTTCTGTTGAGGATTTGTCATATGATCAAAAAAGGTTTATTTCTATCAGTTCGGATTGTTTGTTTTCCTGTGCAGCGTCAGACAGACAAGCTGTGTTCCCTTTTTTTCTTGAGTGTGTTAATTATGTTCTAATACTAAATGGTGAACAGGTCTCTATTGCTGCCAGAGAACACTTACTGAGATCCACCAGTAGTTGTCCAAACTATCTTTTCTTTGACCAAGGATTAAGAAGTAAAGAAATAGATGATGATGAAGTTTTCTCTGTACTTCTTGATTTAAACACTTCCCTTGTGTTGTGTTCGGGGGAAGTCAGGAGTGTAAAAAAGTACCCCAGTCTAGCAGATGAAAGCTTTTTCCTTAAGAAAGAAGGACAGCAAATGTTGTTCTGTCTTACTCGCATTTGCAAGGACTACACGCACGCTCTGCCTACTGAACTGCTCATTGAACTCACATCAACACCAGTGTCTCCTTCTCAGCAGCCTGTTGATGACTTGTCAAAGAATCAAGACAACAGTGGTGCTTTGGTTTTGACTGAGAACGTACCAGACCACACTGGCCAGCATAGCCTTTCATTCGTCAGAGAGATTGAAATTTACGACCCAACAAGTGAGGAACTCGCGATTGTGAAAAACGTGTTACCTTTCATAACACATCCGCACGACATCGAAATCGCCTGCCTCTTCTTTACGTCATACGACGCTGGGCTGATAGAGAGTGTGGTTTCCAACATTCACCTTTCCGACAATCTCCACAGCTTAAAACTTGTCAACATTAATTTGACAGCAACATGTGCTGATGAGATCGCCAGTTCACTGTACCAGGCTGGTAACTTGCGCAAGCTTGACTTGTCCGGTAGCCCGTTGTACAGCAATGTGAGGAGTTTGGTTGAGAACCTTGGACACGTGACTGTCTTAAGGTTGCGCCGTGTTAATATGGGAGAGGAAGAGGCCGCGGTACTTGGAGCTTCATTGGCACGTATAAATGGGTTACAAAAACTGGATATATCAGACAACGAACTGGGTCACGGGATAATTAAACTGGCGAACCACTTAGACTGTGCCCCTTCTCTGACAAAGCTGAACCTAGGAAATACAAAGATGGGTGCAGAGGAAGCCAAAGCTGTTTTCCGATGTTTACCAAGAATTACACTGCTACAGAATCTTAATTTATCATTCAATCCGCTGGGCTATGGGATTATGGAGCTGGCTAAAAACTTGAACTTTGTTCCTGGTTTGAGGCAGCTCTGGTTGCGTGATACACAGATTGGCGAAGAGGAAGTATCAGCGCTGGCTTGTGCACTTAAGGATGTACCAGAGCTGGTTGATCTCGACGTATCATTGAATCCGATTGGCCGAGGAGTCAGTGTCCTGATTCAGCATCTCAGCAGTGTTCCTGAGCTGAATTTCTTGTATCTGGACGGTGTTGAGATGACAAAATCAGAAGCCGAGGAGTTGTGCACAGCATGTAGAAGATACACCACACTAAGCACTGAATACCATGTAAGTGTTTTATTTCTGTTGACATTTATATGATTGTACTCTTTAAAATAATATAGCTCGTAGTTCTGTAGCCAATGAACCACTTCAAAAGCAATTTTTAAAGTGATTAGATGAAAGAAAATACAATTGGCATATTTTGTAATTTCTGTTGTTTTCGCAATTTTTTGTGTAATTTAGCAAAACAAGTATAGCCTGCAGAACAGGCGTAATTTTTTTGCTTATTTCAGGCGACAGAGACGAAAGCGAGGCGAGCGCGAAGTGCGAGTGTCACACGAGGGGAAAAGTGCGAAAAAAAAGTAACGCCTTTACGCATACTGTTGTGCAAGTTGTTCCGACGTTCAAATATGAACGTGACTACCCAATACGTTACTTGACGACACTTGATCCTCGTGTGTTTTTCAAATACAGCATGGCGGTTGCATCATCTTGTTCTGTGGATGAAGCTATTCGAGAAGCCCTTCGTTTATTTCCGAACGTGCCTCATTCCTCCCTCTCCTTTAAAGTGCCTATGAAGTAAAAAATAATTGCTGCTTATTTGAAAGGCTTTTCAAAGTAAAGAAGAATGGCGTTTCCCTTTTTGGAATATCTTTTTTCGTTCTGGAGATATTTACGTTTTTGTATTATGCAAATGAAGAAAGTGATGACGTCATAGGTGGTTCCACTTGAACATTAAACACTGAATCAAGAATATCTCTAGAAATATTGGAGCAGTGTTCTTCAAACTTGGCACCACAAATGTACATCACAAAAGAAACAGAATGACACCTTCTGTGTTGTTGCCATGGCAACACTTTTGGCTCCGGCCCTTTCTGTGAAAAACCAAATATGCCAATTTGCAACCCTTCGAAAAGGGACAGAGGGTCTTGCTCGGAACACACATGATTCCCATATTGTCTTAACTCTCCCAATTAGATTGTTGGGAGTGGATGGTCCTTGTTTAAGATAAAATRTGGTYATGTTAMTTMTAATTYAAACAGGACCAGCGGCATAACTGTTGTCATGGCGACGGCACAACAGGTGTCATTTTGTTTCTTTTGTGATGTACATCTCTGGTGCCAAGTTTAAAGAACACTGCTTTAATATTTCTAGAGATATTCTTGATTGAGTGTTGAACTGTTTAGTGGAACCACCTATGACGTCATCACTTATAATAAAAAAACGTGAATATCTCTAAAACGAAAAAATATATTCCAAAAAGGAAAACGCCATTCTTCTTTACTTTGAAAAGCCTTTCAAATCAGCAGCAATTATTTTTTACTTCATAGGCACTTTAACCCATTGACACCTGCATGAAATTGCCTGCGACCTACCCCAAATTCCCTGTCGCTCTTTGGAATATTTCAAAACGAGAGCAAGCACAAAAATAAACCATATGCGCAGTAACCACAGACACAAGATTAGGTTTCAAGACATTGTTTATTTAAAATTGAATAAATGAAGGGCCAAAATATTAAAAAAACATCAACACTAAGAACTCAACTTGATGTGTAAAACTGATAAGAAAAGAAGAAATTATATTTTTCCTTTGCCGCGCGACAAAACCCGGGAAAATTGAATATGCAAAATGAGTTAATTATTGACTTCGGAGGACAAAACGAAACCGAATAAAAGAGAATCTGCATTCTTTTACTATAACAGATAACATTTGCGAAAACATTGGAAAATAAAAGTGACAGACACATGTAAAAACCAATTTAAAAACAAGAAATCAGATAATTTCTTCGCCGCGCGACGAAATAATACAGCGCAGCGAATGAAAGATGAAAGGACGACAAAAACAAGCCAATTATTTTGAGAAAAATCATATTTCAACCTTGTTAAATAGTGCCCACTTAGTTCGTTTCTCAGGAGTTCTGTAGTAGCTGAATAATACTCCAAAAAATATATTTGAACGAAGCGAATAAGCTAAAGAAACAAACCACGGAGGTCGTCGTAAATAGACCAATTTCGCTATATTGAAATTCAGCCTAAAACAGTAGATCTAAGTACGAGGTCCCGGGGAATAACAGAGTTTGTGTGGTTTATTCCCCAGAGCCTCATGCTGAGGTCTATAGTGTTAGGCTGAATTTTAATATATCGTAATTGGTCTATTAAATATACAGAAATCCAGCTTGCAAGTTACTGTTCACTTTTAAAACCTAAAATTCCCAAATAAAGGCAAGCAATTGAAAATGACAACGCGTCACAAGAACCTCCTCTGTCTAAGAATTTCACCACCCGTGCTGTCTATGCAGCAATTATAGACCACTACTTCCAACCCCCAACTGCGGAACCAAAATTACTACAATATGGTTTCTCGACAGAATGCTTAAAGAAAGTTTATAACCTCACTTTTGTTACCACGCCCGAAACAAAGCTTCAAATTTTTCAATATAAAATTATCCACAACATACTTCCAACTAGGTGTTCCCTTTTCCGTACGAAGCTATGCGATTCTGAAATCTGTCAGCTATGCAAAATGCAACCGCAAACATTGCCTCACTTATTTTACCTTTGTTCTGTAATTTCCAATTGCTGGTCTACATTTCAAAATTGGTGGTTTGAAGAACATAGAAACATAATAACTCTCACTGAACGTAATATCCTTTTTGGTTGGCTTGATAACACCACAGAATCAAAAGACATTTTAAACTATGTCACCTTGGTGACCAAGTATTATATCTTTTGCACTATCCAAGACAGCGATGATGTACCCTTTGACGACTTTCCTTCTGTACTTAAGAACAAATTTAATACTTGGTGGAAAGACTTTATTTGAGTTTTTTCATTTTACTTACTTAGTTAAGTTATTGATTAATTTAATTGATTCTTAATTTAGTAATAGTTTCTTTTTTTTTTTCAACGTACCTAATCAAAATGTTGTACTTTGTAATAGTTTGTAATTCTTATTCTAATTGTATTTTTGTAACACACATCATTACCTTCTGTTAAAAAAAAAAAGTTAAATAACATGGTGCTATAATAAAACATACGTTTTGCTTTAAAAAAAAAAATAAATAAAAAATAAAGGCAGGCAAAGGAAAGAAACGTGACAGGAAGTTCAATAACAATAAATTTTCATTCAAGATGAGGCAAAAAAAAAAAAAAACTATCTAGCAGCAAAAAAAGGTTGAAAGTTTTGCAGACGTGCTTCGCTGCATTATTATCAAAACTCACTTGAGAGGTTGAGAGCGCACATTCTTTACAAGAAAGGTTTGAGGACTCTCTACACCTTGTTATTCCATTCTAAGACCTTGGAAGTTTGCAGATTTGGCTCACAACGCGCCATGATTACCTGCACTTTTCGAGCGCCACTGTTCTTTTAACGCCGTGATTGGCTGGTCATTTAAGGGTGTGTCTGGGGGCGGAACAGCTTAAAGCAATAGTACGCGTACAGGCGTTATGTTTTTTGCGCTTTTCCCCTCGCGTGCGACTCGCAGTTCGCGCTTACCTCGCTTTCGGAGAACAAGATGATGACACCGCCATGTTGTATTTAAAAAACAATCGAGGATCACGTGTCGTCAAGTAACGAATAGGCCATTTTACATTTGTGTGCTCAGTTACCTGGCCTTTGAATGCAAGCGAGGCTGGAGGTGACCTTGCTTTGATACAGACCTCTCTGCTTTTTTATTCAAATGCCAATTAGTTAGCATAAGAACAACTTGATTAACAGAACAAAAGCAGTGAGGTCTCTATCAAAACAAGGTCACCTCTAGCCATCATCAGAGGCCAGGTCACTGAGCAGACAACTGTAAAATGGTCTATTGGGTAGCCGCGTTCATATTTGAACGCCGGAACAACTTGCACAACAATATGCGTGAAGGCGTTATTTTTTTCGCGCTCTTCCACTCGCGCGCGACTCGCGCTTCGCGTTCGCCTCGCTTTCGCCTCTGTTCGCCTAAAATGCGCAAAACATTACGCCTGTTTCGCAGGCTAAACAAGTACATGTAAGACTCCTCTGTACATTTCAAAGCTGGGCTACTAAGCACTCGCTCGTATCGTTTCAATCACCTACGAATATCAACTTCACTGAGCATGTCAAAGTGATAATCGCATCCAGAGTGCACCTTAAGTTTGATGTAGTGAACTCAAGAGAAAGACGGTATGACAAGTGAAATTTCCCTATCTAGAGATTTAATTCATATGAAAGCTTGCGACAGCCGCTGCGTGTTTTGAAACCGTACTTGTTTGGCCTTGTTTGTTGCCAGTAGAACTTCATTGAAACTTCGAACTTGATTTTTTTTCAAAATTCGAGCTTCCAAATCAGGAGTGCGGCCGTTTTCTACGGTTGCGGCCTAAACGTGGACTTTTACGGTATTTGTGGGTTGGTCCGCGGAAGATGGAAGTGTCTACTCAGAGAAAATCAAGAACAAAACTTAACTACATTTTCATTTTAAGCTACATGTATTAATCAATGTATTTTTCGAAGACAGCACAACGGAAAGCAAGACCTCTGTGATCGATGAATGAAATTTCTTTATTTCTACTTCTAGGAAATTGTTCGTGCTCAAATAGCAGAGAAACACTCTGCTAACCCTCCCAATCAACGTTTTTTTTTACCACCAAAACTCTGGGTGTTCACGTGACCAGCCCCATTCGGGGTATTTCTTGAGGGGGGAGATATAGGACCCTGAAGGTTGATTTGTGTCCAGTACCCGAAGAAGGAGCACTGCGTGCAAATGTATGTACGCTCGATGAAGAACTGAAACGAGACCAAGATGAAAAGCCGCATACACCTCTTCCGCGTTAAATCGAATAGGAAGCCTTCAGTTCAACCATTTGTTACACAACATACTTCATTGAACAGGTCAAAAACAAACTAAAAATGAATAAAAACCTGTAGGCAGAAGACTAAGAATTTCAAGTTTAAGTGTTGACGTCTTTCTTAGCAACGAGTTCATTGGCACCATACCGGTAACGCGATATAATCAAAAAAGGATGCCATGGTGCTACCCCAGTGGGAGACGTTGTAGCGTGATTGGAC